GAAAGCACCAATAAGGAGTACATTCCTTAGTCTTTTTTTTAGTTAAGCTGGAAATGGCTCAAATTAGATACAGTGTTGAGTAGCTGCAGATTAAACTATTGCAATACACGCCTCAGGCTTTGTAATTCTTCTTATCAGGAAGTATAGAAAATGAGCCAAGGCATCTGTGTAAAATCTGGGACTGCTTTCCTGCCTTATTATTATGCACAATTTCTCCTGCACCCTCTTCCTTTTTCCAGAAAAGTGAGATTGAAACAAGGGCATAGAAGAAGGTTTCATTTGGTCTTCTACCTAGAAAGGCATCCACGCTCACATTGTGAATCTCTTCACAGTTTTTCTAGAAAAGTTTCAGGCATTCAGAGGAATACCTTCAAAACATCCAAGAGCCATCACAAAGCCACTTTACAAATGGTTCCTGCTGGACTGGCATGTTTTCAAAGCAAATGAACGCAAAGTATATCAGACTATAAATGGATTTTTGCTGGTCAATAATATTTTTATTTATTTATTTAGATCATTTATATGGCTGCCCAAACATATGCCTGCAAAAGGAAAAAGAGCAGCTATTTTCTTAATGGCTGATGTTAGTTTTTATTATGTTTTTGCAAGTGGTATATTGTCATCCATCAGCTATAGCACCTTGTGATGTAAGTGTCTGCTACACATTTTTTTGCAATATGGTGCTGATAACGTTTCCGTCATGTTCTTTCAGAGAAGCTACCTTTCTCTGATGAACACGTACCTCTTGAAATCAATTAACACATCCACCTCTTTTTCCCAAGTCAGAATCCTGGCTTTCTGGACTCAGGAGGATGGTATTTTGCACTTTTCCTCACACTCAACCCAAGAATTTTCATTTTTCTTGTACCTGCATAAACACCTCTATAGTGTGGTGCTGCATCTGTTATTTTGTAACAGGGAATAAATTTCCTTACTGATCTAAAAGAGAGACACTGTTTAATAAACTACTGGTTAAGATTAACAGCCCGGAAAATCTACTTTTGACCTGCCTGACTTGCTCTACCAAACTGGGCCATTGGAGTCTATGGGAGTTTCAGATGGAAGTTGCAGCTGCACAAGAATAATTGAGCACCAGCCTCAAAAGCATAAATAAGCTAGGCAGACTCTTTTCATCCAATTTGGATTTTACCCTTGTTTGTTCCTGAAATGCTGTCAGTTATCTTTGTAAAACCATAAGAAAGGCTGAGCGCCAAAGAATTGAGGCCTTTGAACTATGGTGCTGGAGAAGACTCCTGCGAGTCCCTTGGACTGCAAGGCATTCAAACTGGTCAGTCCTAGAGGAAATCAACCCCGACTGCTCTTTAGAAGGCCAGATCCTGAAGTTGAAACTCAAATACTTTGGCCACCTAATGAGAAGGATGGACTCACCAGAGAAGGGCCTAATGCTGGGAAAGATTGAGGGCAATAGAAGAAGGGGACGACAGAGAATGAGATGGCTGGATGGAGTCACTGAAGCAGTAGGTGTGAACTTAAATGGACTCCAGAAGATGGTAGAGGACAGGAAGACCTGGAGGAACGTTGTCCATGGGGTCGTGATGGGTTGGACACGACTTCGCAATTAACAACAACATCTTTGTAAAGGGGAGAGTTAGCGGCATTGATTTATAAGGTGGAAGTTTGTCTTTCAAGGCTATTCTTAATTGTGATTAGGCTTGAGAAAGCCACTATCATCAACATTTGTTGTTATTACCCAAGGAGCCCTTTTCATTATCAGTTATAGTCATTAAAAAAAAATCAAAGCACATTAAAATAGTTTCATTTACACTTCTGATTGTTTGTCTGCATCTATTGCATTTTTGCCAAATTTTTGTTCATTTAAGAATATGGATTTTTTTAAAAACAGAATTTGAAGGCTGTAGACTTGAATCAGTCAGAAGCACAGGCCCAATCCTTGAAGAAGGAAGCAAATCTATTTCAACTTTGGAATGGCTACTCCAAAATCTAGAGTTCTTGAATACTCCTACTTAAATAGATTTTCAGCTGTGCACAACATTTAAGGAAAACTAAACTGAATTCAGTGCAGGGATCTTTACTCATAAACTAAACCAGACAACCAACATCAATGGTGGATTTTGTTGAGGTCTCTTTAAAACCAAGGAGATTTAAAAAATGAAGCACTGGTAGTTCCAAACAGAGAAGAGTTGAGTTCTCTTGTTGCACATAAGCTATACATATGCTAAATGCTTGACATGATTCAAAAAGGTGAAAAGTAGAAAACATATTTTAATATGTATAATATGCTAATAACATCAAGGAAGTCCATCTATTGTGGTATGACAAATTATCCAGAAAAATAAAATCTGATATAAAATGAAACTGTCTGCCTGAATCACATATATGTGCAAAGTCACTATATACTGGTGTTCACAATATGCAATTTTTCCATCTTCCCTGTAAATAGTTCAACTCAGTATGGATTTCTGAAAATGTTGGCTTAACAAAAGTAAGTCATCAATTTCAGATGTGATTACATAGAGGTGGATAGGGAGAATTAACTGTTTGCTTAAAATGGCATGAACAAGATTTGTTCATTTATATAAATAGATTTTTCTAGGGAAGGATCAATGTAGTCTTGCAATTCTTTGCAATTAATTCTTGATTAATCATTCAGGGCCAGTTGAAATTAAATTCATCCACTGGAAATAGATAATTGGCCTTTGAATGGCCATAAAACTCTGTATTTTAGGGGGGGGGGGAAATCCAACACACAGGTGTGTGTACATATGCATGTGTGCACATACACACATACACTATGTGCATGAAAAAAATAACTTCTTGGTGACATTCCCCTATTAAAATGAACATACTTGCTATTTCTCATCACTGGAAGCTTCCCACTTAGCCCCATGTTCTGATATATTTAACAGGTAGTTTTGGAGAAAGGCTATGACCTTCAACTTTGATATAAAATGCACTATAGTACCTCATATTTTCTGAATATGAATGCATAAGAAGTCACACCAAGCTGCTGTCTCTTTCAGGGACACTAAAGAAACTGACTCTCTAAAATATAGTAATATAAATTTGTGTACATAATGAATTCTCTATAAGCCAAATCTCTTGAGGGTACCTGGTAGAATGAAACCATTTCAGAAAGGCTAAATGATAAATGGCTCTGCCTCCTTGATGACCCCTCTGAGCAACATATAATAATTATTAGATGACCTCTATAATGAATCTTGTTAATTTGCTGTATACCAAAATAAAACCCAAGGAGTTTTCAATTCTTTTCTGTGGCCAAGCCCAAGATCTTTCACTTGGAAGGAAAAAGCCTGTAACATAGACTTAAAATGAGTCCCCAGTCAGAGTTTGGAATAAAAAAAAAACATGCTGAAGCTATTAGAGACTTTTTAGAGAAGCTTTTAGAGACAGAAGCAAGTCTCAGAAGTTTCATTAGTCTTAAGTGGCAAACCACAAAAATCGTGAGAACTTAAACTATCTTTGCATTTTACAGAAGTGTGCAAAGTTTGTCATTTCCCTTCTTTTCTTCTCTAGACACATTCATCACAACTACACTATGATTCAGGGTATCCATGGAGAGAGGGGGTCAAAACCATCAAAATGGCAGCTTTGATTGCAGCTGCCATTTTGATTTTTTGACACCTGGCCCCTTTCTTCCATCCTGGATATTCCTACCATGATTTCACCTCAGTGGAACCACATTATGCTCAATCACTCACTTGATAACTATACTATTATTATGTCTTTTTCCTTCTTTTTTAACCTAGAATTCTCCAATGCCCCCAAGAATCTGAGCACTGTAATGTTTTGCATTTAACAAATCTTTCCTCTGCTAAGTCCTCTAGGATTAGCCAAGGGGCTGCTTTGCACTGGTGACTTAAACAAATAAATTAACAAATAGCAGCCTAATAGTTACCCAAGTGCTTGAAAACACGGTCAACAATTTGTTTTCTGATAGGGCCATGAAAAACATGATATTCCACAGCTATCTTGCAACCTTTTTGATTTGGAGTTGTGACTGGGGAAACAAATACTAGTAAAATATCACCACAAATTGATAATTCCATCCTAGTACACAATTATTAAGTATATGCTCCATTCTTCAATGGAGAATCGGCTCTCTCAAGACACAAAGACATATAGTCATCCACATACATCAATATAATGGCATACAAATGAACTAATAGTTATGAAGTCAGAGGTAGGAAGTTACATACTGAGCCCTTATGTATTACCTTCCAGAAACCCTTACAATGCAACACTGTATGGTGCTCTACTTAGGCATCTTTTAAATTTGTCCATCTGCTCTTGTAATTAGAAAACAGAGAAGAAGAGGAGAAAAACATCTTCAGACTGAAGAATCCTTCTAAGCAGATGAAAAGAATATTCATAAAGGATTCAGAAATGGGGATAATAACAAGTTCTAGGTCACACTTTGAAAGGAACACATCTCAATGATACTGTAGAATATTTCCAATTCTTCAGTTCAGAGGAAGTCTTAGTAAAGGACCTATATACTGATTGTACCCACAGTGGCATGAATTATATGCCTTTTCTAAAATCATTTTCTCTCCCCCTCCCCCCAAGACCACTTGGCTGGTTGTTGGGTTTTTTTTTTTGTGCAAATAGCCCTGAGTGGCACTTTGTGATGTGCGTATAAATACTGCTGCGTCTTTATCTACCATCATCTATGTTTAAACACTTTAAAAAAAACCTCTTACTCTTCAATATTTAAAGATCATGTACCATTTGTATGAGTTTGCAATAAAGTTGGGTACATATTCTGGTCACAGATTGGCCAGAGGTAATGAGCACTTTTTTGGGAATGACTTATAGCATCTCCATAGCATCACCCAGCCAGCACTGAAGAAATATAAAGCTTGTCTTTATTACTAGTATGTGGCAGAACAATGGGTGAGTGACTCTAGAACAGTGGTTCTCAACCTTTCTAATGCCGCGACCCCATAATACAGTTCCCCATGTTGTGGTGACCCCCAACCACTTATACATCACCGGGTGCCAGGGGCGTGGCCAAAGAAAAGGGGAAAAAATGGCAGACAGCCTTGTCTGGCGACCCCCGTGAAATGGTCGTTCGACCCCAAATGGGGTCCCGACCCACAGGTTGAGAACCACTGCTTTAGAAGATGCTATAGGTTGAGAGTGCAGAAGTGACTTCAGAGGAACTAAATGTAAGATGAAGTCAACCATAAAATATCAACAACAGTCCAGCTTTCACTTATACAGCTGCAGTCACAGAGTCCTTCTGCCTTGGATCTTGGTACCTGCATTGGTACTGATCAGGAGTGCTTTGTCTGTGTCCTATTCTGCCCACCTCATTATAAGGTGGAGCTCTGTGGCCTTGTGGTGGGGATGGTGGTACATCTTGGCGGAGAGGTCCTTTGTGCTGAATTACTGGCTGTGGTGGGAAATATGGTGAATACCATAACTCTGTTGCTCTTGGGCCATCTGGTGGATGAAGGTAGCTCCCTTTGGAGGGGTGAATTGCAGGTTGGCTTGCAGGAGGGTAGTGAAGATCTCTTTCTTTGTGTGCTATCCGTAGCCCTGTTAAATATTCCATTGGTTCTACAGATCCATGCCTAGAAAGAAAAATAGAAAGGGGGTGAGAAGCTGTCAGTAAAAAGTCTTGCATCGCCTTCATCTAAAATGCAGCAATTGTTTTGGGCAAGAAATGTCACTTCCACTAATTAACAAAAGTCCCACAGAATAAAAACTAAAGCTCTGGACTGGTAAAACACAAAGGAAGCCAGTGGAAAAGTCCAGCCTCCACATATTATAGTTTCTTCATCAATACGTTTGAGCTATTCACCTTATTTGCAAAACTGTACTGAAAGCACTTTCTTCTTTTGTAAGAAAGTAAAGTCTAAAACATATGAAGAACAGCTGCAGGACTTGGGTTTGCCTAGTCTAAAGAAAAGAAGAAACAGGGGCGACATGTTAGCAGTATTCCAGTAGTTGAGGGGCTGCAACAAAGAAGAGGGGGTCACATTATTCACCAAAACACCAGAGGGCAGGACAAGAAACAATGGTTGAAAACTGGAATTGAGGAGAAACTTCCTAACAGTGAGGACAATTAACTAGTGGAACAGCTTGCCTCCAGAAATCATGGGCGCTCCCTCACTGGAAGTTTTTAAGAAGAGGCTGGATAGTTACTTGTCTGAGATGGTATAGGTTCTCCTGCTTGAGCAGGAGGCTGGACTAGAAGGACTCCATGGTCCCTTCCAGTCTCTACTCTACTCTACTCTACTCTACTCTATTTAATAAAGCATGTTTGTGTCTAGTCTAGCCTGAAGATATACTGATGAATTTGGTCTATATCTCAGCAAACCATAACACTCATGTACAATTCACATGTCAAAGCTGATTTGCCCATGTTCTCACATCAAAAATGCTAGTCATAAAACTCTTGAAGACCCGCAATTAGAAAGCCTGACAGTCCCATAAAAATATTAAAGATATGAGGATATAGTATCTGTGTTTAGGGAGCCAGCTACCATTAACATTTTTCTTTCAGTGTGTGCAGCACCATATAACCTGTGGGCATATGTATGATCTTGTATATGCTTCTCAAGTCACTTGCATTAATTTATATTTGACAAGATTTGGATCATTAGAAAACTCACACCATGGACTGCCAGGGGATGGCTGATGATGGGGTCATTCTAAAGGTTTTCTGTCCCAATTTTGGATTAACATTAAAGAGGTATTCTCTCTCTAAAGCCAGGACAAATGATATGTGGAATAAAGAAGTGTTGTTTGTAGATGTCAACTCCAACAAGATGAAAGTTTGACTGTTAGGAACTGTTCTCTGAAGAGTGAAATGCTTTTTTAAGTTACAGAAAGAACTCTGGCTGTCTTTGAATAGACTTGCTGACTGCAACATTGAAAAACCAAAAGAGTTCATGTCTGAGTGCTAGTTTTGTCAGATCCGACATGTCATATTTTCCACCATTTCATGAACCTAGACAGTGTTTCAAATGTTGTATTCTTCTGCTAAATTTGTGCAATTCATGTAATTTGCGCAATTACGTTTCATGCATTTGATCCAGCTTGCCAAAGAAAAAAGTGAAGCACTGGAGAATAGCCAGGGAGAGCTTCTCCTAGGAGCAGAGCTGCTTAGAAAGCATAAGACAGATCCACCCTAAGCAATAGTGGGAATATAATACTTACAGATTTTTTTTTTCTAAAAGAGGCAAGGGCACTATAATGGGTAGGCAAAGAGAGTATGAAATAGACGGATGGACAAACGGAAAGACAGATAATCACCTAAATTAGCTATGGGATGAAGGTGTCTTCCCTTACATTATAAACTATAGACAAAGGATTTTAGACTTCCCAGAGAGACAACAATTGTCCCAAATCACCATCTCTTCCATGCCTAAAAGGAGACCAACATTTGGGTCTTCCCATTCCTAGTGCAGTACTTTAACCAATGCATCATACTGTCTTTCATATATATGCGTGTGCACGTGCACACATGCACACATACACACAACCAAAATTTCATGTTTCTTCCTAAACTAGGAAGGAAGGGAGTTTGAATTTAGTTACTTATGTTAAGTAATTTGTGGTCTTTTACTTGATACTTGATGCATTGTTAGAGTTCCATCTGGAGAGGAAAAAAACCCCTATTAGTTCATATCATCTAGAGCTTTGAAAGCTACATAGTCATTCAAAGGAGAGCTCTACTTCTCCTTTCTAGAAAAGTGGCAGAAATATTGAATCTCTGTTGGCAGTTCAGGATTAGCTTAAAATGGTTCTTTGATCTGGCCTTCTTGCTAGATGTGCAGGTGGAATGCATATTTCCTTTCGGGAGGGGGGTGTTTGCTTTGCCAGCCACAGCCATCTTGGTAAAGATGGACCTTATCAGTCATGTCTTCGCTAACTCCAGCTTAGATTACTGTCACATGAAATGCGCTCCCCAAGGGAGCAGGCTTGTCATCCATGTCTTTTCAATGCTAGGCTGGCAATCTTATCTCGATGTTTCTATGGTGCTATTGTCCCTATGATGTTGGCTGCTTGCATTATATTGGAGCAGAATCTTTTTAATGACTTTTCTGTACTATTTATTTATTATACAAATTTTTTATTTTTAAATTACTTCAGTAACATTATGATATGCTCAGAAAATTCAGCAGATGCTAGCAATCTTAACTCAGCAGTATGATTCACCAGTCAATCAATGCAATCAGAAATTACTCAGAAACTGCAATTAGTCCAAAGGTTGCTGCTGTGAACTAGGCATTTTGGCAAACTATGGGGACATAGCACATCCAAATTTAGAGCAGAGAGACCTAATCTTGACCAACAAACAAGTCAATAAATAAGCAAGCTGTTGGCTAACTCACAACTTTATTCAGGGTGATAAAGGAAAGAAAGAAAGAGCATATGCACAGAACCCTAGATAGTCTTTGAGTTAAACCAAGGATAGGCGACCTCGGCTCTTTTATGACTTATGGACTTCAACTCCCAGAATTCCTGAGTCAGCATAGGTCGCCTACCCCTGACTTAAACCATTTGTTTAATGACCATTTGAAGTTAGAATGGCACTGAAAAAAGTGATTTATGACCATTTTTCACACTTTTCATACTTACAACCACTGCAACATTTCCACAGACATATGGACACTTGGCAACTGGCTCATATTTATGAAGACTGTGCGTTTCCCAGGGTCATGTGAAAACCTTTGGTAACCTTCTGACAAGCAAAATCAGTGGGGAAGCCAGATTCACTTTACAGCTGTGTTACTAACTTAACAACTGCAGTGATTTACTTAACAACTATGGCAAGAAAGGTCGTAAAATGGAACAAAATTTACTTAACAAAATGGAACAAAATTTGCTTAACAACAAGAACTACCTGTAGTCCCTTCATGGTCTAATGCTACTTTCAATCGTAAAGAAAGTATCCCAAATTGGGGATAGAAAGAGAATTAACTGTCTTGAAATGTGGTTGCGTAGTGCAGGTGGCAGCAGTAGCTCCCACAACACATGTTGGCTTGTAGTCCATTCACCATCTCTGAGGGTGGCTTCAGACCTTCAGCACTTGGTCTGGAGTCTCTCACAGCAAACAGAGAGGGCCTGTCTTTTATAATGTTCTGTTTTTAAAGTGAAGAATCTCTGGGGAGAACAGGAGCCCTGAAAGTCCAAGGCCTGGAATTTTTCCTCTCTCTCTTTCCACTTTAAACAGGAAACATTTGCACTAAGCAATTCCAGTGGGAGAACGCAGGTTCATTTCAAGGCAGATAATGTTTGCCCGTTGCTTGTGTTTGGTGATTTATCCTATGGGCTTAAATGAGTCCGGCAGGAAGAAAAAAAACACACATTATGTTTCATGTCATGTAAAACAATGCTTGGTGAGTCTGGAGCACAGCACAGACACGAATCACTAGACAAATAAGATGAGGGTCAGAAATGTGCAATTTCAGATAAGAGTCGAATGATCAGCAATTTGCTGCTTCTTTTTTAAAGTTATTATTTTGGCATGCCAGAACATGGCATTTAAAAGTGCTGAGCAACAAAAGTAGGTTATCATGGTTTTAACTTAGACTGGTTAGTGCAGGAAGCTGGAGGAATTTCATATACTCTGGAGTCTTAGCAGGTAAGGAAGATTATGAGATCTTGTAACTATATGAATGAAGCATTAAATATTGCCTCATTTTTTTGGGGGGGGGGGATGGAATTACCTAAGTAATAAAATAGTTTGAAACAAGGTGGAATATCCCCAGGATCAACTTTGTGCTCCTTTTTTTTTTTTTTGAAGGGCTTGATCTAAATTGTATTGAGAATCTGAATATCCAGAATGATCAGCCTGAAACAGTAAATGTGGCAATGTAGCTAATTTGAGGAAAATAGGGTTCTCTTAATTTTGTTGGAATGACAAGGTTGTTAGCATTTTCTTTGTTTTGCTTTCCTTTTTTCCTTTTTTCTTTTTGTAGAAGATGATGACTTTAGGGGAATTTTAGCTTATCTAAAAACATAGAGATAGTTTGTAGAACAAGACAAAAATAAAACAGAAATACACATAATGGCCCTAATTGAAGTCTTATGACTAATCCAGAGAAGAAATGGAAAACATCAATCTACAGTTTGTTGTGTTAAGAAGGTGATTTACAAAAGTTACTTTGATGGACTGTTTTGAGTGCAGACTATGGAAAAAGGGAAAATGGATTTTAATTAGGGTGTTTTTGAAATAAACATGCAGAGTGTTATTTCTCTTACTCTTGGGGAGAGATGAAGCACTATTCAGGATATTAACCTTATTCTATCCTCCCTAACTCTTATATATATATTTGTACTAATTAGAAGATTAATTTTTAAAAGGTTGTTAGAAGAAATAATGAAAATTATTGCGAGAGTCCTAAAGATTCTGAAATCTTATCAAGGCAGCCCCCAACAGACACAATTATGCTAAATTATATGTTTATATTGAAATACAATTCCTTTTTGTGTAAAATTGTGAATATAGAATCTAAGCTGCTGTTTCCAAAAATGTTACAAAATCACGTTGATGCTGAAATGGGCTTCTATTCACGTATGCAGTCTGTAGTTGTCATTTGTCTTCAAGTTGTGCTTTTTT